CTCACTCTCTCAAACACTCTCACTCTCACTCTCACACTCTCACTGTCACACACTCACTCACTCACTCACTCTCACACTCTCACTCTTTCACTCTCACACTCTCACTCTCACACACACACACTCTCACACTCACTCTCACTCTTCCACTCTTCCACTCTTTCACTCTCACACACACACACACTCACTCTTTCACTCTCTCACTCACTCTCACACTCTCACTCACACACTCACACTCACTCTCACACTCACACTCACTCACTCTCTCTCTCACACTCACTCTCTCACTCTCAAACTCTCACTCTTTCACTCTCTCACTTTCACTCTCACTCTCACTGTCACACACTCACTCACTCACTCACTCACTCTCACACTCTCTCACACTCACTCTCTCACTCTATCTCTCACTCTTTCACTCTCTCACACTCACACTCACACTCACTCTCACTCTTTCACTCACTCACTCTCTCTCTCTCACACTCAAACTCTCACTCTTTCACTCTCACTTTCACTCTCACTCTCACTCTCACACTCTCACTTTCACTCTCACTCTCACTCTCACTCTCACTCTTCCACTCTTTCACTCTCACACTCACTCTCACACACACTCTCACACTCACTCTCTCAAACACTCTCACTCTCACACTCTCACTCTCACACACACACTCTCACACTCACACTATCACTCTCTCACTCACTCTCACATTCTCACACTCACTCTCACACTCTATCACTCTCTCACACACACTCACACTCACTGTCACACACTCACTCACTCACTCACTCTCACACTCTCTCACACTCTCACTCTTTCACTCTTTCACACTCACTCTCACTCTTTCACTCTCACACTCTCACTCTCACTCTCACTCTTCCACTCTTTCACTCTCACACTCTCACACACACACACACTCACTCTTTCACTCTCTCACTCACTCTCACACTCTCACTCACACACTCACACTCACTCTCACACTCACTCACTCTCTCTCTCTCACACTCACTCTCTCACTCTCAAACTCTCACTCTTTCACTCTCTCACTTTCACTCTCACTCTCACTCTCACTGTCACACACTCACTCACTCTCACACTCTCTCACACTCACTCTCTCACTCTATCTCTCACTCTTTCACTCTTTCACTCTCTCACACTCACACTCACACTCACTCTCACTCTTTCACTCACTCACTCTCTCACTCTCTCTCTCTCACACTCACTCTCTCACTCTCAAACTCTCACTCTTTCACTCTCACTTTCACTCTCACTCTCACTCTCACACTCTCACTTTCACTCTCACTCTCACTCTTCCACTCTTTCACTCTCACACTCACTCTCACACACACACACTCACTCTCACACACACACTCTCACACTCACACTCTCACTCTCACACACACTCTCACACACACACACTCACACTCACACTCACTCTCACTCTTTCACTCTCACACTCTCACACTCTCACACACACACACTCTCTCTCACTCTCACTCTTCCACTCTTTCACTCTCACACTCACACACACACACTCTCTCTCACTCTCACTCTTCCACTCTTTCACTCTCACACTCTCACTCTCACACTCTCACTCTCACACTCTCACTCTCACACACACACACTCACTCTCACACACACACTCTCACACTCACACACTCACTCTCACACACACACTCACACACTCACTCTCACACACTCACTCTCACACACACACTCTCACACTCACACTCTCACACACACACTCTCACACTCACTCTCACACACACTCTCACACTCACACTCTCACACACTCACTCTCACACACACACTCTCACACTCACACTCTCACACACACACACTCTCACACTCACTCTCACTCTTTCACTCTCACACTCTCACACACACACACTCTCACACTCACTCTCACTCTTTCACTCTCACACTCTCACACTCACACTCTCACACACTCACTCTCACACACACACTCTCACACTCACACTCTCACACACTCACTCTCACTCTTTCACTCTCACACTCTCACTCTCACACACACACACTCTCACACTCTCTCTCACTCTCACTCTTCCACTCTTTCACTCTCACACTCTCACACTCACACACTCACTCTCACACACACACTCTCACACACACACTCTCACACTCACACTCTCACACACACACTCTCACACACTCACTCTCACACACACACTCTCACACACTCACTCTCACACACACACACTCTCACACTCACTCTCACACACACACTCTCACACTCACACTCTCACACACTCACTCTCACACACACACTCTCACACTCACACTCTCACACACACACACTCTCACACTCACTCTCACACACACACACTCTCACACTCTCACACACTCACTCTCACACACACACTCTCACACTCACACTCTCACACACACACACTCTCACTCTTTCACTCTCACACTCTCACTCTCACACACACACACTCTCACTCTTTCACTCTCACACTCTCACTCTCACACACACACACTCTCACACTCACACTCTCACACACACACTCTCACTCTTTCACTCTCACACTCTCACTCTCACACACTCTCACTCTTTCACTCTCACACTCTCACTCTCACACACACACTCTCACACTCTCACTCTCACACACACACTCTCACACTCACACTCTCACACACACACACTCTCACTCTTTCACTCTCACACTCTCACACACACACACTCTCACTCTTTCACTCTCACACTCTCACTCTCACACACACACACTCTCACACTCTCACACTCACTCTCACTCTTCCACTCTTTCACTCTCACACTCTCACTCTCACACTCTCACTCTCACACACACACACTCACTCTCACACACACTCTCACTCTCACACTCACACACACACTCTCACTCTCTCACTCTTCCACTCTTTCACTCTCACACTCTCACTCTCACACTCTCACTCTCACACACACACACACACTCACTCTCACACACTCACTCTCACACACACACACTCACTCTCACACACACACTCTCACTCTCACACTCACACACACACTCTCACTCTCTCACTCTTCCACTCTTTCACTCTCTCACACTCACTGTCTCACTCTCACACTTTCACACTCTCACTCTCACACATCTGAAAATGTGTATTATTCCTAAAGTCCGTTCAGGCTAAGCTAACAGGCTGTGACTGATCCAGAGGAAGCTTTTTCCTCCGGTTCATCTTTCTCTTTCCATGACAACCACTAACGAGGTTCAGGTGGATCTCAGGGCTCCATAAACCTTCAGATAGGAAGAGGAACAGTCTGTCGCTGCTTAGCATAAAGCTAACGTCTCTACGGCTCTTCTGCAGTTTACAAAACTAATACCACACTGTAGAAACAGTAGCAGTAGTAAAGCAGAAAAAACGGTTTCAGTCAAAGGTCAAAGGTCAGATTTTATAACCTCCTCACGTGGAAGAATCAGAGAAAAGCAGTAAGAAGAATTTTTACCTGCGTGACGTCCGGGTGTCTTTTTACTCTCTCAACAGTTTCCTGGAGGAAGTGATGTCGGCGACGAGTCATAGCGGCGACAGAGCACAGTCAAGTGGTCGCCACAGCAACAGGCGCTAAACACAACAGAAGACAACAATAACAAACAACAACATTCCCCCCCAGCCGAGCCTCTGTAACGTGTCCGTGTGCTTCTTGTTTTAAGTGAACAAACAATAAAAGAGAATGTGATCATGTGACGTCTTCACTCATTTATTTCCACACCAACATACAAAAAACAAAAACATCTTCTGGATAAAAGATTTGTTAAACAAAGTAAAAACATGTATTAGCGTAAAAGAAGTTCACTTTTCTGAGGCGGTAAATGTTTGTTGTCCTTCAGCTTCAGCACATTGGGCACAAAAAATACTATTTAGATGTATTTTCACAGCCTTCGTCTTTCAGCTGTCCTTCTGGTAAATGATTTGTTAAAGATTTATTACAGCTTTTATATAAATATTATAAAGAAAACTGCAGTTTTTACGTTGTAAATATATTTTTGATAAGTTTGATATTCATCATTCATAGTTGTCATTTACACTGGGGACGCTGGGGACGCTGGGGACACTGGGGACACTGGGGACATGTCCCCACCACTTTTCTTTTGTTAAAAAAACACGTTCTGAAATATAGCTTGGAGTTAATAACAAATGACAATAACTTTTGAAAGGTTTATTTACATATTAAGAAAACATGCAATGCAATTAAAATATAGAAGAAACAAACGTGCATCGTCCAGAAAACGTAACTTGCAGCAGCACGTTAACAACTTGTGGCCAAGGTTTCTCCCTGTGAACATGACAAAGAGGAGGAGAGACTAAACCAGGCCTCAGCTGGGACGATGTTACAGGAGAAAAGTTGATCTGCAGGAGAAACAGATCTGAGAGCTGCTCTCACTTAGATTCTGTTAGATTTATATATTTTGAAATGCCACCTGAATTCTGTGTTTCCTTTAACATAAATAAAAACATTTCCACCAGACATTAGTGCAGAAACGTTCAGCAGAATGAAGGAAATGAAATACTCAAACATCTCGGCATTGAGGAATTCTTTAAAACAGTGTTCTCGTTCTCGTGAACCTAAGAGTGTCTCTTCACCGGCCTAATCTGAGCCCCTGTGTTCCCACCACTTCTCAACACAAAGTGACGCCCGTGGAGTGATCGCATCTGACCTGCAGCATCGTCCACTGTGTCGAGTTAAAGGGAAGGTCATCCGTCTGGATTTGGTTTGAACTCCAGCTGAACTTCTTCACCGTCTGCAGGACTTCATGCAAATAGCAACTGAATGCATGAACGGGCTGGTGTACCTAATAAAGTGGCCGCTGTGTCAAATGTCAAACAATAATGACTGAAGTAGAGTAAATAAAATTAAAGCAGATGAGACGATGATGTTAAAGTAATCTTTCACAGATTCAGAGGAAGCAGTAAGGAGTGCATCACTGCTGACGAGACAACATCCAACAGCTTCCTCTTTTTACACTTCAGACTTATTTCAGAACACAGAAGGACAGAAGGTCCGCGGAGGACATGGACCTCTCTCTTTGCAAATGATGCTAAAGTAGCTCGTGTAGAAACCAGCCGTCGGTCAGAGTCCTGCAGTCAAACATCTCTGAGGAACAGCAGAGACGCTGGAAGCAGCAGGTGAGTGATGGAAGCAGTCGGTACAACAGGAGTCGTATCTGGGTTAACTTTAAGAGGACCACGCGCTTTATTCCTTCTTATGTCTTACTTTTTATTTAGTACTTTTTATGTAATCATTTATGGTTTGTCTGTCCAGCACTTTGTGCCCACCTTGGATGTTTAAAGTGCTCTGTAAATAAATTTTGATTGATTGATGAGCTTTTTAAGACCTGGCTTCACCCTGAGAGGCAGAGACAGAAAATGACCGACTACTCTGGTACTCGATTGCAGTTTGTGATATTTTCTAACTTCCTCACTTTAAACGTGCAGAGTTGCTGCTTATCTTTGTCATATATGGAGGAAAACTGAATATCTTTGGGTTTTAGGAAGATCACCTCCAGCCCCCTAAAGGATTACAGGCAGTTTGCACCATTTTCTGATAAAATATCAAAAATAAAATCAGCTCAGGGTGGAAATGTGCTGCAGATTAACCGATAACAAACCTAATTTTCAGTTAAAAGCCTAATTTGGTCAACAAAACAAACATCTAATGTCACAGATATATGACAGAACAAAACCACACTGCTGTGGCGTGAACAGAAATGGGAGAAAGTTTCTGGAGACGCCCGAGTGATTTTTGGGAACTGAGACTAACTCTCAGACCTGGATAGAGTTCTGCTGGAAGAACATAAGACGGTATTCTGTGACTCTGAAATTAAACTTTATTCAAAGGAACAGGACGACTTCTGGAAGCTGTGTGTGACGTCGTCCCCGGTTCCTTCAGGGAGCCGGAGCGCAGCCTCACCAAGCTGCAGACCCTCAACACCTGGTTTCCCTCATGTTCTCTTCATTTTCATTCCAGCAGTTTTGATCCTGTAGATCGGCATGTCAGCGATGGGACGTTTCCTCGTCTTCCTTCTGTCCTTCCTGCTTCATTTTAACCCCTCGCTGGCTTACTCACTAAAAAACTGCACTGCTGCTTTTGCTGTTAACGTGATCAGGGTGGAATGCACACATCGTGGCCTCGCTGCTGTTCCAGATGACATCCCCAAAAATGCAACGTCTCTAGATCTCAGCTCTAATCGCATTCTAAAGATAAACAGGACAGACTTAAGCAGCTTAGCAAAGCTCACATCTTTAAATACTGAAAATAACCACCTGGCACATGTAGATAATGGAGCTTTTGCAGGCTTGCCGTTAATGGAGCTTAAAATGGGTTCGAACAAACTCACAAACCTGACAGACAACATGTTTCAGGGCCTGTGGACATTAATTTATCTGTCTGCGGAGAAAAACCATCTTGCATACATCTCCCCGCTGGCCTTTCAGCCCCTGATCAGCTTACAGAACGTAGTGCTGAATTACAACCGACTACATCAAATGAGCAATATCGTGCCAATCTTACAACTACCAAACTTAAAGGAGCTGTACCTCGATTTTAACCACTTCACCTCCATTCAGTCAGATGACCTGCCTTTTAACAAATCAAACCTCAGGACACTGATGATGATCGGTAATATACTGACAAAGTTCAGCATTAGAAGAGACATTTTTCCTCATCTTCAGTCCATCTTTATGAGTACCGGGACTGACTTTGAGTGGGATGTACCAGACGCGACCTTTCTGAGGAGCCTAACTGCTTTGGATTTATTTGGTTTTGATAGTGGTAGTGATACGTACAGAATGATGCTGAAGAGTGCTGAGTCGGTGAGGGAACTGTCAATGAGTGTTATGAAGAATCAGCTAGATGAAGATCTGGTAGACATCGCCTGCCAACTTCCTACTCTGACAAGTCTTGAATTGAGCAACAATAATGTTAACAGCATAAACAACACATTCCTGCAGTCCTGCTCCCAACTTATTGAGCTGGATTTATCATATAATTCTCTGGAAGAGCTGTCTGAGTTTTCACTCAGCTCTATGAAACAGCTCAGACGTCTGGACTTAAATACAAACTTCCTGTCTAGGGTGCCACCCGCCCTCAAAAGCCTCTCCACGCTTGAAATACTAGATCTGAGTGTTAACTTCATCAGTGAGTTAGGTTGCTCTGATTTTCTAAACTTGACAAGATTAACGACACTAGATCTCAACCAGAATCGCATTTCAACACTCAATGGATGTGTTTTTCAAGATTTGAAAGATTTGAAAGTCCTGAATATGGGAGAAAATAGCATTCATTTACTTATTGATTTCTTCAAAGTGAATTTACAGAAACTAGAAGTTTTGAATTTGCACATGAATTCTTTGAAGCAGCTGAAAACAGGCGACTTTAGGAATCTGTCTTCCCTCAGGTCTTTGAATTTAGAATCTGAGAAATGTTACGTTGCCCATAAAGGGGCTTTTGAAGGACTGACCAACCTTCACTCTCTTAGTGTTACACCATTTTTTGCAGATGTATTGAGTTTTACAGGACTGGAAAACCTAGAAATTCTCCAACTGCATCTCAGATCTTTGTTGAAAAGCGACGGTTCTCATCAGAAAAAGTATCCCCCTTTTTCCAAATTACCTTCCTTGAAGAGCCTTCTGATAGAAAACTCTGGAGGCTTTTATCACATCTCCCCAGATTTGCTCAAGGATCTAAAGTCTCTAGAGTACTTTGCAGCAGAGAACTTCTTCACAGAGCCCCCTCACCCAGACACATTTAAATACACTCCTCACCTGACGAGTCTTCAGATAATTCAAAGTGACCTGCAAAACTTAAACCCTGACTTGTTTCAGCCAATCCCAAACCTGCAGGCTCTCGACCTTTCCCAGAACAAGCTCAGATCTTTGGATTTTCTGTCCCAGGTCAACCTGTCTTCACTCAGCCAGTTGTCACTGAGACAGAATAAGTTGACAGTGATCAATGAGACCATCCTCCAGTCTCTCCCTGCACTAACATTCCTGGACCTGTTCGGTAACCCTTTAACTTGTAACTGCTCTAACGCCGGCTTTATCCAGTGGGTGAAGAACAACAACCAAACTCAGGTTGTTAACGCCTACCAGTACCACTGTTCCTTTCCTTCCATTCAACAGGGAACCAGGTTGCTGGACTTTGACATCCAGTCCTGTTGGATGGACGTCGGCTTCCTCTGCTTCATTTGCAGCACTTGTCTGACTTTGCTAACTCTTCTCGCTGCCTTCGTCTTCCACTTTCTGAGGTGGCAGCTAGCCTACGCATACTACCTCTTCCTGGCCTTCCTCTATGATAGCAGGAAGAAGAAGAAGAACAGAGCTCCTCACCAATACGACGCCTTCATCTCCTACAACGTTCACGACGAGGCCTGGGTTTACAGAGAGATGCTTCCAGTGCTGGAAGGAGAGCAGGGCTGGAGGCTCTGTCTGCACCACAGAGACTTCCAACCAGGTAAACACTTCTTCTGCCTGTGTGTTTGTCTCTTTGCTGGTACGCTGTAAATCCTTAGATAGGGTTGGATCTGTAAATTTTTCTACGTACTCAAAACCGTCAATCTGACAAGCAAACGCACTTTGCCAAGGAGTGCGATGGTAAGAAAGTAAGCAGGGTTTGAACATCTTCTTCTGCCGCACTTGTGCGTACATCCAATTACAACAACTTGAATGTTTTTGAAGGACTGTCTGAAAATGCGCTCCGATATTCCCTATTTGTGTGATTTGCAGCACCTCTTCCCTTTCTAAGAGGGCAGGCTTCCCTTCACGTTTGGACTTTCGTTAAGAGGTATAAATACTTTTATCATTAGATGTGTTCAGACAACGCATTGTACGAACTAATTAGTTTAAAGCATAGCGTTTTGGTTGGAGGTTTTTGGGGTACTTGTGGCCCTCTTGAATTAGCCATTCCAGTCCATTGTGCAAATTTAAACCGGTTGGAGCTTCAGTTTTTGAGCCTATAGGCTCTTGTTTGGAAGGGAAACCTGTGGAAAACATAACTAAGTTATTAATTATGACATTACATCTTAGTCCCTTGGTCACACACCTCAAACACCTGAGTAGACTGAGGATCTACTTTGTAGTGATACCATTAGATGTCTTCTCGTTTATCTTGCACACTTGGGTAAAAAGAGGAGCTGACCTTTCAACGGATCACCACCTGGTGATTATTAGATGGAGACTACCGAACAGATGGTGGAGGTCGCTTTCCACATTGTCTACTGGGGGCATGCAATCTGAGTCAGATGTCCAAAGCCTTCATTGCAGAGATGATAACCTGTGCCTGTACAGGTCTCAGTCCTAAAGGGATTGGTTTGCTCAGGGAACGCCTGAAAAAGCGTTCGGAATTAGGAAGGTTAGGATTAGAATGAATGTATCATGTGTATTAGTAGGAAGCACAACACATCCTGAAGGTGTTCAGTTAGGACTTTTTTAGTTGGCCTAAGATCGCCTCTGTTTCAAGGTTCTGGAAAAGAGGCTTTAGTGAATTGTAGAACCTCTGATTCAGGAAGATCAGTGAGGTTTGTATCCTAGTTGTAGAAAGGTGGGGCAGCTCTTTCGTCTTGCAGGTCTGGAGAGATCATGGGGGTTTGCCCACACAGTCTACATGTGTTTCGCAAACTTGGACAAGGCTTGTGATCCTGTCCCTTGAGGTATTGTGGGGAGAAAATGCAAGAATATGAGGTGCCTTCTCTATATGCCAGACAGTCCCGGCGCATTCTCATCTCAGTGCGTCATTACCAACGCTTTCAGACAGCTCGACAATGTGTAATTATTTTATGCTAAAGGTACCCTTCAGAGTCCATCTGCAGCAACACAAAGGAGGCTAACCCTACCTGCTAGCACATCAGCCGTGAAGCTGATGTGCTAGCAGGTAGGGTTAGCCGGTCGATATGCATAAAGTCAGTGACTTAGGTTTAGGCACTAACATTTCTGATGGTTATTGTAAGGGTGGGGGTGTTTGGGAGGCTTTCAACACCTTTAACACAAACATAGCTAGCTAGGCCTGTACGAGATGCCCCAGAGTGTCTCCCACAGACGCTACCTTTAGCGTCAAATAACTACGCTTTGTCACTTTTTCTGAAAGCGTCAGTATTGGACGCCCTGAGATGAGAATGGGCTAAATGTCCAGTATGCTTCACACAATCTAGTTCGTACAAAGCGTTGTCCAAACATATCTCTTGTAACTGACAACGCTCACATGACTTCCACTCTCAGCTGCTCTTGTGTGAACAACTCTAAAGCTGATGATACACAGGGTAACTTTTAGAGCAATCGTGCAGGGTAATAAGTAAAGATTACTATCGTAATCCCCTTCCCCCACCACTCCACCACCACATAGTCAGACTTGCCACTAGCAAGATTGCCCAGCAACATTGCTCAAAAAGTTGCCCCGTGTATCATCACCTAAAGATATTTAAATTTGTTAATTGGATTTAGTCACTAATCCCAGAGGGTCTTAAGCGCCCCACAAAGCTCCAGTGTTCAGTATGCTTCAAACAAACTAGTTAATTGTTCGTGTTGTCCAAACACTTCAAAAGGCAAGAGTGTAAATACCACTTCCCCAATGTCCACACTCAAAGCAACATGTCTATTGAGTCCTGTTAACCTACCAGAATAGATCCAAACTCCTGGCTCCTGTCCCGTGGGTGGTGTCACCGTGTTCATGTAGTTCTACAGCAGAACTCATTTTGTAGTTTTCCTACAGTGAGTCTGGACTGTTGTCTCCACAGGGAAGCCCATCATGGACAACATCACAGACGCCATCTATGGCAGCAGGAAGACCGTCTGTGTGATCAGCCAGCGCTACCTGCAGAGCGAGTGGTGCTCCAGAGAGATCCAGATGGCCAGGTGGGGGCGCTACCTCTCTGCACTCACATACAGCAACACCTCTGCTCTTATCTCACAGCCATCCTAACCTGATTCAGTCCTCTGAATCTGAATTGAGCGTGCTAAGATATGATCAGACAAGTCAGGGGTCCTCACGGTCTGTCCTGTTTGTGTTGCTACAGCTTCCGCCTGTTTGACAAGCACAAGGACGTTCTGATCCTGCTGTTTCTGGAGGAGATCCCGGCCCAGCAGCTGTCTCCGTACTACCGCATGAGGAAGCTGGTGAAGGGACGCACCTACCTGAGCTGGCCGCAGGCCGGCCAACACAAAGGAGTCTTCTGGCAGAACGTCAGCAGAGCTCTGGAGACCGGGGACGCTCCCACAGAGACCGCAGACCTCCTGACTGGACCGGCAGGATGCTGAGTATATTACCGGACCACAGCAGAGAGTATCTGCGGAGCTTCACAGGCTGGATGATCAGAACCAAACAGGAGCTAAAAGACATGGAGCAGAACATGAATACATTGTTTCTTGCTACATTGCTTTTGTTCCCACTTTGGGGGCGAGTTCCTGAACCTAAATTTGGGCTCTGATCAGGAAGTGATACTAAATCAAAGTTCAGATACTTTTGGGGAATGAAATACAACAGCTGGTGTTCAGCATTGTAATTAACAGTGCTGGAAAGCAATTAAGAAGATTTACTCAAGTACTGTTAAGCACAATGATGAGTATTTAAATTTTATGCTATTTTAAACTTCTACTTCTCTAAAATTCTGAGGAAAATACATTTTACCCCAGTACATTTATCTGACCAATTTAGTTAAATGACCATTCTGCCCAATTTTTACTTTAGTGCTGCTGTTAATAACTTGTAGTTTTACTTGAGTGAAATGTGGAATGTAGGACTTTTGCTTGTAGTATTTTCACAGAGTGGTATTTCCACTCTAGCCATGAATGGATCCAGGACTTTCTTGCTTTTTTTACAGATTTTGAATCAATGTCGATAAGTTCAAATGTTGAAAAATGTTCAAAATGTGAATCATTTCCTTGTGAGCTGGTTTGAAGTGTTTAAGTTTACGGTGTGTGTTGGAGGTGAATCGCTGCAGTGTGATGTTGAAGAGTAAGAGACGATGTACCGCATGTACATATATACATGTAGAAGATGAATTTCTGATACTTTGAGTATCAGCAAGTAAACACAGAAATCACTTTTCAGGAAAAAAAGCAGAATTTTCTTAATCGCTCAGTTCTGACAATTTTCAGTTGAAACGCTTTGAAATAGAAATCAATGAATCAATGCAAACAAATTTAACAATGTTTTGAAAAGTTGAGATAAAGTGAGTACCATAAAATGGTTTGTCTTGTTCTCTTTTATCTGTAAAACACAAAAACAAAATGTGGATTTGGAGAATTCTGACAAATTTTAAATTGATCTTCATCCGACGGAAGTGAAGCTCTGAATGTTGCTTCTGCTCGTCAGTGATCACATTAGATCATTTTAATATTCTAAAGGTAAAGTTTTAAGGCCTTAAATCTCCAGATTTGAATTTAGAGATTTAAGGGAGCCTGTGTCAGGGTTTGGTGTGTACTTGGCTGGCTTTAGGCACCAAAAGTACTTGGTTGGCTTTAGGCACCAAAAGTACTTGGTTGGGTGTAGGCACCAAAAGTACTTGGTTAGGTTTAGGTACCAAAAGTACTTGGTTGGGTGTAGGCACCAAAAGTACTTGATTGGGTTTAGGTACCAAAAGTACTTGGTTGGGTGTAGGCACCAAAAGTACTTGGTTGGGTTTAGGTACCAAAAGTACTTGGTTGGGTTTAGGCACCAAAAGTACTTGGTTGGGTTTAGGTACCAAAAGTACTTGGTTGGGTGTAGGCACCAAAAGTACTTGGCTGGGTGTAGGCACCAAAAGTACTTGATTGGGTTTAGGTACCAAAAGTACTTGGTTGGGTTTAGGCACCAAAAGTACTTGGCTGGGTGTAGGCACCAAAAGTACTTGGTTAGGTTTAGGTACCAAAAGTACTTGGTTGGGTTTAGGCACCAAAAGTACTTGGCTGGGTGTAGGCACCAAAAGTACTTGGTTAGGTTTAGGTACCAAAAGTACTTGGTTGGGTGTAGGCACCAAAAGTACTTGGCTGGGTGTAGGCACCAAAAGTACTTGATTGGGTTTAGGCACCAAAAGTACTTGATTGGGTTTAGGCACCAAAAGTACTTGGTTGGTTGGGTTTAGGCACCAAAAGTGCTTGGTTGGGTTTAGGTACCAAAAGTACTTGGTTGGGTTTAGGCACCAAAAGTACTTGGTTGGGTTTAGGTACCAAAAGTACTTGTTTGGGTTTAGGCACCAAAAGTACTTGGTTGGGTTTAGGCACCAAAAGTGCTTGGTTGGGTTTAGGTACCAAAAGTACTTGGTTGGGTTTAGGCACCAAAAGTACTTGGTTGGGTTTAGGTACCAAAAGTACTTGTTTGGGTTTAGGCACCAAAAGTACTTGGTTGGGTTTAGGTACCAAAAGTACTTGGTTGGGTTTAGGTACCAAAAGTACTTGGTTGGGTGTAGGCACCAAAAGTACTTGGCTGGGTGTAGGCACCAAAAGTACTTGATTGGGTTTAGGTACCAAAAGTACTTGGTTGGGTTTAGGCACCAAAAGTGCTTGATTGGGTTTAGGTACCAAAAGTACTTGGCTGGGTGTAGGCACCAAAAGTACTTGGCTGGGTGTAGGCACCAAAAGTACTTGATTGGGTTTAGGTACCAAAAGTACTTGGTTGGGTTTAGGCACCAAAAGTACTTGATTGGGTTTAGGTACCAAAAGTACTTGGTTGGGTTTAGGCACCAAAAGTACTTGGTTGGGTTTAGGTACCAAAAGTACTTGGTTGGGTGTAGGCACCAAAAGTACTTGATTGGGTTTAGGTACCAAAAGTACTTGGTTGGGTTTAGGCACCAAAAGTACTTGGCTGGCTTTAGGCACCAAAAGTACTTGGTTGGGTTTAGGCACCAAAAGTACTTGGTTGGGTTTAGGTACCAAAAGTACTTGGTTGGGTGTAGGCACCAAAAGTACTTGGTTGGGTTTAGGTACCAAAAGTACTTGGCTGGCTTTAGGCACCAAAAGTACTTGGTTGGGTTTAGGCACCAAAAGTACTTGGTTGGGTTTAGGTACCAAAAGTACTTGGTTGGGTGTAGGCACCAAAAGTACTTGGTTGGGTTTAGGCACCAAAAGTACTTGGTTGGGTTTAGGCACCAAAAGTACTTGGTTGGGTTTAGGTACCAAAAGTACTTGGTTGGGTGTAGGCACCAAAAGTACTTGGTTGGGTTTAGGTACCAAAAGTACTTGGTTGGGTGTAGGCACCAAAAGTACTTGACCACCAACTGAACCACGTTTCTAGTGTAAAAGCATTTTCTGGAGGGTTTGGGCTTTCAGACCATTTACAGGAAGTTCTGGTGGTTCCTGTGTAAACTGGAAACAAACAAATGCACTGAGAAATGGACTGAAATAAGGACACAAATATAAACCTGCTGTGACGGCTAATTTTTTGAAACAGAATCCTTTCACACAACAAGGACGTTTTTTTGGCGAGTTTGAACTGGCCTCGAGTACAGCTGCAGGTTGTGATACCATAACAACAACAATATGATCTGCATCTGTTCATTCTGTCAAAGCTCCACTGAACTGTTTACAAACACACAGCGGGTCAAGACCTCTCGCGTCATTTTTGCACGTGTAGGGCTCTGTGGTCATGTCCGCAACACTAAATATGCAACGGCCTGTTATAGACTTTCAAAATAAAACTAGTGTTTAACATTGTGAAAGGTTCGGTGATGGTGTGGGTTAAAATAACTAAATTACTTACGTAAAGTTACTTTTGTTTCACACAGGAAATGAACACCGGCCTCCTGGAAGTCCGGTTCTGGCCCACTGTCCAAACCACCTCCTTATTCTGACTTTTCAGAATCAGAATCAGGTTTATTGTCAGCTATTGGTGCTGAACAGGACTCATAAATGTAAATATAGAAATATAAATATAGAAAAAATAGTTTCCAAATGTACATGAAGGCCTGCAATAAAGAATTAGTGCAAAGTTCACAGTTCAAAGTTAAATATCCCACAGAGCTTCCATCAGCGCCTTGTTGATTTACTATCACATATTTGAGTGTTTTTATTTCTTATTCCAATTCTTTGACTCGTTTTCACCTAATTTTCATCATTGTTTACAGATATTTTCTCTTAAACGCTTTAGTCAGCAGCATGAAGTCAGTCACAGCCCATTGATCAATGATCAGTAAAGCTGTGAACACCGTGTGTGACACGCTAGATGACGCTGTCGGCCTCATTTTACCGGAATACAGACTATATTGTGCGCGACCGCGTGTCAGAGCGCGTGCACGGTTGTGTGTTGAGAGAGAGCATCTGCCTCCACGCACGCACGCACGGGGAGGATGCTGCCTCGGTTCAGACCACAGACGCGGAGCTGAAGAAGAACCGGACGGACGCACCGACGCTGCCTGCAGGATCTACCGGGCACCGAGCTACCGGGGCCGGGCCGAACCCCCCGGTGTGATTCTCCTGTGCGCCCCGGAGCGTCGGGCAGGATGAAGAAAAGCAACCAGAGCAGACGGGTAGGAGCGCGTTTCTGTCTCTAACGCATCTGTCGGGAGCTTCAATGTTTTTATTCTTCACTGATCCGGGATCAGCTCCCAGCTCCCGGTACCGTCCTCCAGTCTCCTCCCGGTGTGATTATTATTATTGTTAACATTCAGGAAGGCAGCAGCTCTGCCACAGAGCACAAAGGTTTCTATCTCACTACAGAAGCCCGTGAAATTCTACTAATATTAATATTAATGTCGTCGTTAATATTCATGCGAGTGTTTCAGAGGAGAAGAACTCATTTAATATTCAATAATCTGATGTCTGCATGTTCAGTACAAATCACTGCAGAAATATTGATCATTTTAACTGTAGATGGAAAACAGGTGAGCAGCTGAGCCAGATCAAGTTAAACATGTAGAGAAATATAAATATTAATATAGAAGAGCTGAACAACAAGCAGCTGTTCTCTCTGGAAGTGAATATTTAATATTAAACTGAGCTGAGGTCTGTTCATGTTTAAGGTTTAAAAAGGAGGACAAAACATCTCAAACCTGACTTCATTATTCTGACCCAATACTGCAGTCAGTGAGGATTTAAATCTGTTCCATCTTCCAACACCAGCGTTCACTTTCTCTCACATGATGCAGATTTCCACACTCCTGTTTGAGATTTTCTTTTTCTATTTTCTACTTGCCAACCTTTTAATTGATATATCCAGCGTTTAGGATGGAGGATGGAGCTGTAGCAGCGGCAGATTTGTTTGTGTGTGCGTAGTGTGTCAGAATATGAAACCCCAACATGTCCCAGCAGCAGTGCTCTTGTGTCCAGGAGCATGCGCTGCACGTTAGAAAAGCTTCACATTTCAGTGTTTTCCCTGTTTTATGTGAGTTTTAGATGAATATTCTGGTGGTGGTCATGGTCAGGGGTTATTTTCACCATATCTCTGAACAAATAGTTGGAAAAGCGAGAGCAGATAATAAATAACAGCCAAAAGATCAGTCTGCTGGAGGAACTACAACCTTTAGATTTGGAGAAAGTAATTTGGTTGGTTCTGTTGCTCCACAGTGATTTTACAGTGAGGGCACAGCATGTTTTGGGCATCAGCCCTGAAACCCTGTTAATATGACCTCAGACATTATAGATACGACTGTTCATGTTGCCTTCTGTGTCTTCATTTTACAGCTTCTGACATTTATCTGTAGACATTAATATAAAAAACAGGCAGCGTGAGAAACCTCCTCCCTTCTGAGGTGCATTTTATTTCAATAAAATCCAAACAGAAACGTCTCCTCATCAGTTTAAAAGGACGAGTTTGCATCACTAATTAGCTTTACTAACCTCAGCTCCTCCGGTCACCTCCGTCCTTTCTTTTCCAAAACCACTTTTTCAGGCTGAAAACTGAAACATAATTTAGGATGAACCAGGACGGAGCTGCAATTTAGTAAGTTTGTACCTGATCTCAACTTTGGACAAGTAATAAAATGCAGCTTCCAGTTACTTTCTATAAACTGAGCTAATGCTCTGTAGCTGCTGTAGAAGCTGCTCAGTCTGAAGGGGAGATGTTAGCTAACTTAGCGCTAACCAGCTTCACTTTTCCAGCAGGTGGGAAACAACAGACTTTTCTTGGTCTTGAGAAGCGAACACACTGTAACAGACACTGTACATTTACTGCTGCTCGCTATGCACCTCCTGATTCAGAGTTACGCTGCTCTTATAACACCATCTGTCACATAGATGTTCTTTGCAGAATGAGGAGCGGAGTGAGCAAAGCAACGAGTGTTACCCTGCTCGCACAGTGTGAGAGTGAAAATTAGTAGCGCATTGATGTAATAATGAGTGGAAACACTGATCTATTTCTTTAAGTCCTGGTCAGCATGTGAGCTGCACTGTAACTCAATAAATTCCCCTCAGAGATCAGTACAGTATTCTGATTCTGTGTTGCCGCCACGCCGGAAAAAGAAAAACTGATCAGTTTCATGTTACAAGCGGAAAGTTTAGAGACGTTATTAACACAATATGCTATTTATAAGCTTTGATAACTTATATTGTGTTTCTGACATGTTAAAACAAAATAAGTTACCACATTAAAACAAGCTAAATAGTAAGTTGTTATAATAAGAAAACCTGATCGGTTCTTCTGTTGCTGTTGTTGGCAGCAACAGGCTTCCGTACATTTTGTGATCATGTCATGAATAAAAGTGACAGGTTGCCAGTCCATCGCAGGGCCACACATAGACAAACACTCACACCAAAAGACAATTTAGGGTCACCAGTTAACTGAGACTGCCGGAGCACCCAGGCCGAGACGCCAGGGGTTCGAACCCATGACCTTCTTGCTGTGAGGCCACAGTGCGTTCCACTGGACCACTGTGCTGCCCTCTAAGGATGATCTGTGTGAACATGATATTTAGATTATGATGGTGATGGTGATGATGATGGTGGTGATGATGATGATGATGATGATGATGATGATGATGGTGGTGATGATGATGATGGTGGTGATGATGATGATGATGATGATGATGATGATGATGATGGTGATGATGATGATGGTGATGATGATGATGGTGGTGATGATGATGATGATGATGATGATGATGATGATGATGATGATGATGGTGATGATGATGATGATGATGATGATGATGATGATGATGATGATGGTGGTGATGATGATGATGATGATGATGATGGTGGTGATGATGATGATGATGGTGGTGATGATGATGATGATGATGATGATGATGATGGTGGTGATGATGATGATGATGATGATGATGGTGGTGATGATGATGATGATGATGATGATGGTGGTGATGATGATGGTGGTGATGATGATGATGGTGGTGATGATGATGATGATGATGATGATGATGATGATGATGATGATGATGATGGTGATGGTGGTGATGATGATGGTGATGGTGGTGATGATGATGATGATGGTGATGGTGATGGTGATGATGATGATGATGATGGTGATGGTGATGATGATGATGATGATGGTGATGGTGATGATGATGATGGTGATGATGATGATGGTGGTGGTGATGATGATGATGGTGGTGATGGTGATGGTGATGATGATGATGGTGATGGTGATGATGATGATGATGATGGTGATGGTGATGATGATGATGATGATGATGGTGGTGGTGATGATGATGGTGATGGTGATGGTGATGGTGGTGATGATGATGATGATGATGATGATGGTGATGGTGATGATGATGATGATGATAATGATGGTGATGATGATGATGATGGTGATGATGATAATGATGGTGATGATGATGATGATAATGATGGTGATGATGATGATGATGATGATAATGATGGTGATGATGATGATGATGGTGATGATGATAATGATGGTGATGATGATGATAATGATGGTGATGATGATGATGGTGGTGATGATGATGATGGTGATGATGATGATGATGATGATGATGATGGTGATGATGATAATGATGGTGATGATGATGATGATGGTGATGGTGATGGTGATGATGATGATGATGATGATGATGATGATGATGATGATGGTGGTTGCGATGATGATGATGATGATGATGATGATGGTGGTTGTGGTGATGATGATGATGGTGATGATGATGGTGGTTGTGATGATGATGATGATGATGGTGGTTGTGATGATGATGATGATGATGGTGGTTGCGATGATGATGATGATGATGATGATGATGATGATGATGATGATGGTGGTTGCGATGATGATGATGATGATGATGATGATGATGGTGGTTGTGGTGATGATGATGATGATGATGATGGTGATGATGATGATGGTGGTTGTGATGATGATGATGATGATGATGGTGGTTGCGATGATGATGATGATGATGATGATGATGATGGTGGTTGCGATGATGATGATGATGATGATGATGATGATGATGATGATGGTGGTTGCGATGATGATGATGATGATGATGATGATGGTGGTTGTGGTGATGATGATGATGATGATGATGATGATGATGATGGTGGTTGTGATGATGATGATGATGATGATGGTGGTTGCGATGATGATGATGGTGATGATGATGATGAGTGGTGTTTCCTAAAACAGTCCTGTTGAAATCACTGATCAGCTGGAGGTTGTTGAGTCCGTTCAGATCAATACAGTCTGAACACGAACATCAGTTCTGCAGCTGCTCCTCCTGACGCGTTCATCATCAGAGATCTTCTGTAAATCTTTTTAAAGCTGCGAGGTTTCCTCTTCCTCGTACCAACAGGCCAGCCTCTTATACAACAACCCAGCAGCATCACAGCCATTGATCACTGTGGCAGTACTACTTTAAAAAGGCTGCAGAACACACACACAATCATGGCCGTAACCAGCTATGAGGTCACAGAGGTCTGGACCTCCTTAATTATATGTACATTTTAGCCTATTAATAAATAAGTGTTGAATAAAAACCTTAGGTAACAAGCTTAAACTTAAATGAAGGCTTTAGGACCATATGGTCGCAGCTGATTACACTGTTTCCCCATCAGTGGTCAGAGTCCAGACCTGGGTCAGTCACTGAGCTAGAGTCCAAGTCAAGTCTCACGTCTCTGAGCTAGAGTCCAAGTCAAGTCTCACGTCTCTGAGCTAGAGTCCAAGTCAAGTCTCAAGTCACTGAGCTAGAGTGCAAGTCAAGTCTCACGTCTCTGAGCTAGAGTCCATGTCAAGTCTCAAGTCACTGAGCTAGAGTCCAAGTCAAGTCTCAAGTCTCTGAGCTAGAGTCCAAGTCAAGTCTCACGTCTCTGAGCTAGAGTCCAAGTCAAGTCTCAAGTCACTGAGCTAGAGTCCATGTCAAGTCTCAAGTCACTGAGCTAGAGTGCAAGTCAAGTCTCACGTCTCTGAGCTAGAGTCCATGTCAAGTCTCAAGTCACTGAGCTAGAGTCCAAGTCAAGTCTCAAGTCTCTGAGCTAGAGTCCAAGTCAAGTCTCAAGTCACTGAGCTAGAGTCCAAGTCAAGTCTCTGAGCTAGAGTGCAAGTCAAGTCTCAAGTCTCTGAGCTAGAGCCCAAGTCAAGTCTCAAGTCTCTGAGCTAGAGTCCAAGTCAAGTCTCAAGTCACTGAGCTAGAGTCCAAGTCAAGTCTCAAGTCACTGAGCTAGAGTCCAAGTCAAATCTCTGAGCTAGAGTGCAAGTCAAGTCTCAAGTCTCTGAGCTAGAGCCCAAGTCAAGTCTCAAGTCACTGAGCTAGAGTCCAAGTCAAGTCTCAAGTCTCTGAGCTAGAGTCCAAGTCAAGTCTCAAGTCACTGAGCTAGAGTCCAAGTCAAGTCTCAAGTCTCTGAGCTAGAGTCCAAGTCAAGTCTCAAGTCACTGAGCTAGAGTCCAAGTCAAGTCTCAAGTCTCTGAGCTAGAGTCCAAGTCAAGTCTCAAGTCACTGAGCTAGAGTCCAAGTCAAATCTCTGAGCTAGAGTGCAAGTCAAGTCTCAAGTCACTGAGCTAGAGTCCAAGTCAAATCTCTGAGCTAGAGTGCAAGTCAAGTCTCAAGTCTCTGAGCTAGAGTCCAAGTCAAATCTCTGAGCTAGAGTGCAAGTCAAGTCTCAAGTCTCTGAGCTAGAGTCCAAGTCAAGTCTCATGTCTCTGAGCTAGAGTCCAAGTCAAGTCACTGAGCTAGAGTCCAAGTCAAGTCTCAAGTCACTGAGCTAGAGTCCAAGTCAAGTCACTGAGCTAGAGTGCAAGTCAAGTCTCAAGTCTCTGAGCTAGAGTCCAAGTCAAGTCTCATGTCTCTGAGCTAGAGTCCAAGTCAAGTCACTGAGCTAGAGTCCAAGTCAAGTCTCAAGTCACTGAGCTAGAGTCCAAGTCAAGTCACTGAGCTAGAGTCCAAGTCAAGTCTCATGTCTCTGAGCTAGAGTCCAAGTCAAGTCACTGAGCTAGAGTCCAAGTCAAGTCTCAAGTCACTGAGCTAGAGTCCAAGTCAAGTCTCATGTCTCTGAGCTAGAGTCCAAGTCAAGTTACTGAGCTAGAGTCCAAGTCAAGTCTCAAGTCACTGAGCTAGAGTCCAAGTCAAGTCACTGAGCTAGAGTCCAAGTCAAGTCTCATGTCTCTGAGCTAGAGTCCAAGTCAAGTCACTGAGCTAGAGTCCAAGTCAAGTCTCAAGTCACTGAGCTAGAGTCCAAGTCAAGTCTCAAGTCTCTGAGCTAGAGTCCAAGTCAAGTCACTGAGCTAGAGTCCAAGTCAAGTCACTGAGCTAGAGTCCAAGTCAAGTCTCAAGTCATTGATTACGTTAATTGACCACCACAAGTTTGGCAAGTAAACAAACTTCTTTGTTTGTGTCTTGTTGAAGTTTTAAAGCCAAAGTTTATGATGAACGGCTCAGCAGCTGCCGGTGTTTGTTGTCCTCTCTCATGTGTGGCCACGCTCAGCTGTTACTACGTGTTATGTAGGCAGGTTATAGGTAACGCAGGGAGGGAATAACAGCACGCTCAGCAGACGCTTCCTAAAAATAAAAATTGTTCACGAGTCCCGCACCTCGAGCCCGAGTCGAGTCATAAGTCTTTTGAGGATGAGTCTGAAGTCACTGTGTGTGCAACTTAAGTCAAACTCGAGTCCCGATCTCTGGTGAGTGAGACAGAAGGGGCGGGGCTGCATAGTTCATATGGAATAGACCAACAGGTCTGTGGAGAAGAGGGGGTCGGCCGTGTCGCTCAACCTTCTGCCAACTTTTTCATTGTGGCCTCAGATCTTCCATCAAGGAGAATCAGAATCTCTGATGGTTCTACTGGTTGTTCTGGTCTTTCCAGACTCTACCGGTTCCTACTGGTGTTAAGGACTCTAACTGACTCTACTGTTTTCTGTGGTTTCTCTCTGACCCTGTTTTTGTTGTATTGTGATGTTTCAGGGCGTTCAGGACTCTGGTCCACAGGCAGTCCAGCAGCCGGAGAAAGTGGGCTGGATCAGGAAGTTCTGCGGCCGAGGGATCTTCAGAGAGCTGTGGAGGAACCGGTACGTGGTCCTGAGAGCAGACCACCTCTACATCTCTGACAAGGAGGTGAGGACCAGTTCTCTTTCTCTTTGTTGCTCTGAAAACCCCAAAGGCATCAACCTGAAGGCCTCTGGGCCGGCAACAATAAATATGCAACATCTGGTTAGACTTTCAAAATAAAACTAGTGGTTAACGTAGAAAAAGATCATGGTTTGGCTTAAAATAACTGTGCTACATGCGTAACTTAGACAGGCTAAGTAGCGCTACTTCCGCTACCGCTAAGTCCAGTTTCTGTCCCACCCGTCCACCTCAACCTCTGTCTTACTCGGACTTTCCTGTTATTTATACTCAGCAGTGGCGGTTCTAGACCAGTTTGATTGAGGGGGCCTGACTGGGGCCTGTGGTTTTGTCAGAGGGGCCCATTCGATCCGGGACAAAAGAGACAATCTTTCAAAATGTCTTGTGTAGTATATAATTTAATGTTTTAGTATGTTTCAGTAACAGGATCTTTTCACTAACTTAGTTATGGTTTTATTACCTTAAACAAAAACAACCTTCCTGTTAACTTTAGCTCAGGTTACAGGACATTCTTTGATGCAACACTTCTTGGTAAAGCTTAATAAACAGTAGAAGCTCTAGTGTATGAGACATCCTCTGGATCCCAGTTTATATTTTGTATCCCACTATAACCTTTGCTAGGAAACAACAAATGGCTCCATATTCACCCCTGTTATTAGTCTGGATGTGAAATATACATAAAATTCAGAGGGGGGTCATAGGGGCTCCCCCCAAAACCGCCACAGATACTCAGCCTACTTTTAGCGCTGAACAATGGCGCCAAAGGGCGGAGGACGCAACAGCGCGTTGGTATCTGACGCTCTGAGCTGATACGGCTGTAGTCAATAAACAGAATCTTTCTTCTTGAACCTGGATCCTGTTTCCACAGATGTTGGTGATGAAGTCATGAAGTAGGGTCAAAGAGTTTTGAATCAGTGCAGTGGATGTTTCAGCCACCAGCTGAACCGGCGTCAAAATGGCGTCCACAGAAAGGCTCAGACTATCACACCAGGTGTCCGACAGCATCACGGAAAGGATCCCTACGAGGGACTCCCGGTGACCCCCTTTGTTTTTAACAGGAAACTGAAGTCTCGCTTTGAAATCTTGTGAGAGTTGTTGCAGGAGGACGCCGGTGCAAACGAGGGGGAGGAGTTTGTTGAAAAGCGATGAGGAAAAGAAAGATGATCATGTTGCTCTGCAGCTGCTGGATAAATAATCAGCTTTAAGAAACCGGTTTCAGATCCAGACGCAGGAGTCAGAGGACGGACTCAGCGACCCTCGTGTGTTTTTAATTTTCAGCTCCGATGATGCTGAACGCTGAGTCAGACCAACTGATCATGTGACCCGCGGTGTCACGCTCACGTCCTTATCAGAGCAAATGTCCTGAGAGAGACGAGCGGTCAAGAGAGGTTCAGAGTTAAAGGGAGAGAGAGAGACTTTATCAGATTTTATTCACACACATTTGTTCCTCTGTCCCTGTGGGGACATCTCATTGATCCTGACCTGATTCTAACCTGAACCCTCAAACAGCGTCTCTGGGGCCCTCAGCGTCCCCATCAGGTTAAAGTCCCCGCAGGGATACAAAGACATGAGTCACATGAGGGGGGGGAGCCTGCCGCCACTTTCTCTCTCTCTGATTGGCTGAGCTGCCTGTTGCTGTCTGATCCCAGCAGACCAATCACACGCTGATGGGCAGGAAGGACGGCGTTCAGGATCTTGGTCAGAAGCACCTGGAACTCGAATCAAAACAGAGAGTCTGAATCATGAAAAGTCTCCACTTCCTGTCCTGCTGCCGAAATGATCTATAAGAATCACAATCCTGCGGCCATGTTGGGCATCGTAGCGGCGTTTTAACAGTCTCTGCTTCCACCGAGTAAAATTGATTCGCTCTCGGGTATACACTTTTCACCGCCTACCTCTCTTCTTTGCTTCGGCTTGTTTTAAACTTCTCAGGCTGTAACGGCGAGCTTTCTGACTGGTTACCAGTGGCTGAAAGGCGGCAGGCGAGCAGATGTAGGAGGGGCGTGTCACGCCAAAGTGTTCCAGGTCTTGTTGCACTGACATTTTGTTCTGGGTCCGGATCTGGATCAGAGTCTGTGTGCTGTTGAGTTTGTGGCTCAATTATGTTAAATATACAACGTCCGGTTAGACTTTCAAAATAAAAGCATTTTTTTGCGCCTTGACGCCTGAATTTTTGAAGTATTTGTGTTTTCATTTGCTTTCTTGCTGGTGCTAAATTAAATGGAGATTGTTAATTTGTCTACGGAGCATAGAATAGATAGAAACTAAGGGATCATTGAGGGCATTGGGGGAGTACTTCGGCCACGGACTGAATGGAAGCGGTGTGATGCGAATTGGCGTTAAGGGGTTAACACTGTAGGTCGTTTTACTTTACTGAAAAGATGCAGTGTTGACTTTTTGATTCATACCGGCCTCCTGAGGGAAAGTCCGGTTTCTGGCCCTCCATCCACCCCAACCACTTCTTTACACTGTTATATTTATCATACACCTGCTTATAGTGTGGTGCTCTGGGGGCTCTGTGGCAGTCTGTGGTGGTCTACGGTTAGTCTCTGTGGTGGTCTACGGTGGTCTCTGTGTTGGTCTGTGGTGGTCTCTGTGGTCTGCGGTTAGTCTCTGTTGGTCTGTGGTGGTCTCTGTGGTCTGTGGTGGTCTGTGGTGGTCTCTGTGTTGGTCTGTGGTGGTCTCTGTGTTGGTCTGTGGTGGTCTCTGTGGTCTGCGGTTAGTCTCTGTGTTGGTCTGTTGTGGTCTCTGTGGTCTGTGGTGATCTGTGGTGGTCTGTGGTGGTCTCTGTGTTGGTCTGTGGTGGTCTCTGTGGTCTGTGGTGGTCTGTGGTGGTCTCTGTGGTGATCTGTGTTGGTCTGTGGTGGTCTCTGTGTTGGTCTGTGGTGGTCTCTGTGGTGATCTGTGGTGGTCTGTGGTGGTCTCTGTGTTGGTCTGTGGTGGTCTCTGTGGTCTGCGGTGGACAGATATTGTTCTCTGTGGTCTATGGTGGCCTCTGTGGTGGTCTATGGTGGTCTATGGTGGTCTCTGTGGTGGTCTATGGTGGTCTGTGGAGGTCTCTGTGATGGTCTGCGGTGGACTGATATTGGTCTCTGTGGTCTATGATGGCCTCTGTGGTGGTCTATGGTGGTCTCTGTGGTGACCTCTGTGGCCTTCGGTGGTCTTTGGTCTCTGTGGTGGTCTCTTCTATGGTGGTCTCTGTGTTGGTCTGCGGTGGTCTGATGCTGGTCTCTGTGGTAGTCTACAGTTGTCTCTGTAGTGGTCTGTGGTGGTCTCTGTGGTCTGTGGTGGTCTTTGGCGTCTGTGGTCTGTGGTGGTCTCTGTGGTCTGTGGTGGTTTCTGTGGTGGTCTCTGTGGTCTGTGGTGGTATCTGTGTTGGTCTGTGGTGGTCTCTGTGGTCTGCGGTTAGTCTCTGTGTTGGTCTGTGGTGGTCTCTGTGGTCTGCGGTTAGTCTCTGTGTTGGTCTGTGGTGGTCTCTGTGGTCTGCGGTTAGTCTCTGTGTTGGTCTGTGGTGGTCTGTGGTGGTCAACGGTGGTCTCTGTGTTGGTCTGTGGTGGTCTCTGTGGTCTGCGGTGGACAGATATTGTTCTCTGTGGTCTATGGTGGCCTCTGTGGTGGTCTATGGTGGTCTATGGTGGTCTCTGTGGTGGTCTATGGTGGTCTGTGGAGGTCTCTGTGATGGTCTGCGGTGGACTGATATTGGTCTCTGTGGTCTATGATGGCCTCTGTGGTGGTCTATGGTGGTCTCTGTGGTGACCTCTGTGGCCTTCAGTGGTCTTTGGTCTCTGTGGTGGTCTCTTCTATGGTGGTCTCTGTGTTGGTCTGCGGTGGTCTGATGCTGGTCTCTGTGGTAGTCTACAGTTGTCTCTGTAGTGGTCTGTGGTGGTCTCTGTGGTCTGCGGTGGTCTCTGTGGTCTGTGGTGGTCTTTGGCGTCTGTGGTGGTCTCTGTGGTCTGTGGTGGTTTCTGTGGTGGTCTCTGTGGTCTGTGGTGGTCTCTGTGTTGGTCTGTGGTGGTCTCTGTGGTCTGCGGTGGTCTCTGTGGTCTGTGGTGGTCTTTGGCGTCTGTGGTGGTCTCTGTGGTCTGTGGTGGTTTCTGTGGTGGTCTCTGTGGTCTGTGGTGGTCTCTGTGTTGGTCTGTGGTGGTCTCTGTGGTCTGTGGTGGTCTATGGTGGTCTCTGTGGTGACCTCTGTGGCCTTCGGTGGTCTTTGGTCTCTGTGGTGGTCTCTTCTATGGTGGTCTCTGTGTTGGTCTGCGGTGGTCTGATGCTGGTCTCTGTGGTAGTCTACAGTTGTCTCTGTAGTGGTCTGTGGTGGTCTCTGTGGTCTGTGGTGGTTTCTGTGGTGGTCTCAGTGGTCTGTGGTGGTCTGTGGTGGTCTCTGTGGTCTGATGTTACCTGTAGCTCAAATACAAGAAGAGGAGCAGGTGTTTAATCAGAGGAAGGTTTATCTGATCACATGTTTGACTCATAAACCGGGTTCAGACAGGACAAGCATCAGGAGGAGACGCTTCTTTTTAATTTTGGGCGAAATGTTAACCCTGCTGAAACTACGGGATCTGGTGTTGATAACTGAGAACTACATACCGTACCTTCAAGGAGTTTTTCTGTTTGCATTTTCACTACCAACAGGAACGCTGAGGGGACGTCGCTCTACTAACCGCCATACACTCAATAAACTGGACTTTCACCTGGGAGACCAGTGTTCGTGTCCCACGTGAAACAAAAACTCAACTCAATCTTTTACTTAAGTTAACAAAACGTGGTTGTCTTTCACCTAAACCAGGATCTTTTTCTAAACCTAACAAACTACGAGGTTAACCACTGCTTTTATTTTGAAAGTCTAAGTGGACGTTGCATATTTATGCTAACTTGACCGCGGAGTCCTTCACACCGAGGGCGTTAAAAAGCGACGCCGTGGGGTCATGACATCCATATGTGACGAGCTGGAAGAGAGAACATGTTGGTGCAGTTGTAACTCGTGCGGCAGC